AAACAAATTTTTCAAGCAAATGGACAGGAAAAAAAAAAGCTGGGGTAGCAATTCTCATATCAGACAAAATAGACTTCAAAAAAAGGGCCATAAAGAGAGACCCAGAAGGTCACTTCATAATACTCAAGGGAAGAATCCACCAAGAAGACACTAATATCATAAATATATATGCACCCAACATAGCAGCACCAAAATATATAAGGAAAATCTTAGAGGACTTCAAGAAAGATATAGACAGCAACACAATTATAGTAGGGGATTTTAACACCCCACTATCAAAAATGGACGGATCTTCCAAACAAAATATCAACAAAGACATTGCGGCATTAAACAACACCCTTGATGAAATGGACCTAACTGATATATACAGAGCTCTTCACCCCAAAGAAGCTAAATACACATTCTTTTCAAATGCACATGGAACATTCTCAAAGATAGACCACATGATAGGGCACAAAACAAGCCTCAACAAATTCAAGAATATTGAAATCATACCAAGCATTTTCTCTGACCATAAGGGACTGAAACTGGAAACCAACCCCAAAGGAAAAAACCCAAAACACCCAAAATCATGGAGACTAAACGGTATGCTATTAAACAATGAATGGGTCAAGAATGAAATTAGGGAAGAAATCAAAACGTTTCTGGAAACAAATGAAAATGATCTCACAACAATCCAAAACTTATGGGACACAGTGAAGGCAGTCCTGAGAGGAAAGTTTATAGCAATACAGGCCTACCTAAAGAAGATAGAAACATTTCAAACAAACAACCTTACCTTACACCTGCAAGAACTCGAGGAACAACAACAAAACAGCCCAGAGCAAGCAGAAGGAAGGAAATAACCAAGATTACAGCAGAACTAAATGACATAGAGACTAAAAGCACAATCCTAAGGATCAATGAATCCAGGAGTTGGTTCTTTGAAAAGATAAACAAAATAGACAAGCCTTTAAGTAGGCTCATCAAGAAAAGAAGAGAGAGGACTCAAATAAACACAATCAGAAATGAAAGAGGAGAGATTACAACGGATACCACAGAAATACAAGGGATTGTAAGAAATTACTATGAATAACTGTATGCCAAGAAATTTGAAAACCTAGGGGAAATGGGCACATTTCTAGAAAAATATAACCTTCCAAAACTTAATGAAAAAGAAACAGAAAATCTGAACACACCAATAATAGCAAAAGAAATTGAAGCGATAATCAAAAAACTCCCATCACACAAAAGTCCTGGACCAGATGGATTCACAGGAGAATTCTACAAAGCATTTAAGGAAGAGCTAACCCCTATTCTTCACAGACTATTCCAAAAAATCCAGAAGGATGGAAAACTCCCAAATTCTTTTTATGAAGCCAGCAGCATCCTAATTCCAAAACCAGAGAGAGACACAACAAAGAAAGAGAACTTCAGGCCAATATTGCTGATGAACATAAATGCTAAAATCCTCAATAAAATATTGGCAAATTTCATCCAACAATATATCAAAAAGATCATACACCATGACCATGTGGGATTTATCCCAGGGATGCAAGGATGGTTCAATATTTGCAAATATGTAAATGGAATACATCACATAATAAAAAGCAAAGTCAAAAACCACATGATCATATCAATAGATGCAGAAAAAGCTTTTGATAAGGTACAACACCCATTTATGATAAAAACACTCAGCAAAGTGGGAATAGAGGGAGCATTCCTCAATATAATAAAGGCCACATACAAGAGACCTACAGCCAATATCATACTCAATGGGCAAAAATTAAAAGTTTTTCCACTAAGATCAGGAACAAGACAAGGATGTCCACTTTCACCACTTCTATTCAATATAGTTTTGGAAGTTTTGGCCACAGCGATCAGGCAAGAAAAGGAAATAAAAGGCATCCAAATAGGAAAGGAGGAAAAAAAACTGTCATTGTTAGCAAACGACATGATAGTGTACATGGAACATCCTATAGACTCTACCGAGGTCAATATCCAGAAATCAAAGGCATTTTTGTATACTAAAAATGAATTAGCAGAAGCAGAAATCAAGAAAAAATCCCATTCCATATAGCAAAAAGAAAAATAAAATATCTGGGAATAAACCTAACCAAGGAGGTAAAAGACCTGTATTCAGAAAACTACACAGCACTGAAGAAAGAAATCAGGGAAGACACAAACAAATGGAAACATATACCTTGTTCATGGATTGGAAAAAATAACATCATCAAAATGTCCATACTACCCAAAGCAATATACAGATTCAATGTAATACCTATTAAAGTACCAATGGCATATTTCACAGACATAGAACAAAAACTTCAAAAATTTATATGGAACCATAAATGACCCCGAATAGCAGCTGCACTTTTGAGAAAAAAAGAACAAAGTAGGAGGGATCACAATAGCTGATATCAAACTGTATTACAAGGCCACTGTAATCAAAACAGCCTGGTACTGGCATAAAAACAGGCACATAGACCAATGGAACAGAACAGAGAGCCCAGAAATCAACCCAACCCTCTACAGTCAATTAATATTTGACAAAGGGGGCAGTAACATAAAATGGAGTAAAGATAGCCTCTTCAACAAATGGTGTTGGGAGAACTGGACAGCTATGTGCAAAAATGAAACTTGAGCACCAACTTACACCATATGCCAAAATAAATTCAAGGTGGATAAAATACATAAATATAAGCCATGAAACCATTAAAGTCCTTGAGGAGAACACTGGCAGGTAAATCTCAGATATTTCCCGCAACAACATTTTTACTGATATGTCCCCTAGAGCAAGGAATATAAAGGAAAGAAAAAAAACAAATGGGATCTCATCAAAATAAAAAGCTTCTGCATGGCTAAAGAAAACAGTATTAAATTTAAAAGACAACCAACTGTATGGGAAAACATATTTGCCAATGACACCTCAGACAAAGGTTTAATCTCCAAAATATACAAAGAACTTACACGGCTCCACTCTAAGAAGACATCTAACCCAATTAAAAAATGGGAAAAGGACTTGAACAGACACTTCTCCAAGGAGGACATACAGAAGATCCAGAGACAAATGAAGAGGTGCTCAATATCGTTAGCTATCAGAGAGATGCAAATTAAAACCACAATGAGATACCACTTTACACCAGTCAGGATGGCTATCATAAACAAAGCAACAAACAACAAATGTTGGAGAGGTTGTGGGGAAAAGGGGTCCTTAGTTCACTGTTGGTGGGATTGCAGGCTGGTACAACCATTATGGAAAACAGTATGGAATTTTCTCAGAAAAATAAAAATCGACCTGCCTTTTGACCCAGCTATTCCACTGCTAGGATTATATCCTAAGAATCCTAAAACATCAATTTCAAAGAACCTATGCACCACAATGTTCATAGCAACACAATTTATAATAGCCAAGAGTTGGAAGCAACCAAGGTGCCTGCCCGTCAGTAAATGAATGGATCAAAAATTGTGGTACATATACACAATGGAATTCTATGCAGCAGAGAGAAAAAGGGAGGTCCTATCCTTTGCAACAACATGGATTGAACTGGAAAGCATTATGCTGAGTGAAATAGACCAGGTGTTGAAAGACAAATACCATATGATCTCACCTTTAACAGGACACTAAACAACAAAACAAACAAGCAAGCAGAATAAAAACAAAGACACTGAAATAGAGAACAAGGGGACAGTGATCAGAGGGGAGAGGGAAGGGAATTTAAGGGGGAAAAAGGGGAGGGATTTGGAGAAGCAAATATGAAGGACACAGAGATGAGAACTGGGGTGTGGAAATGGGATGGAGGTGGGAGCACGGGGTGGGGGGAGCTGGGATGGGAGAAACAGGCAAAAAACTGTACTTGAAAAATAACTAAATAAAGTTATTGAGAAAAAAAAACAAAAGTGCTTCACACTAGTGAATGTACTGATGGATTTATAATTTGATAATAAAACTCCCTGAGGAAAGAATACCCTCCCAGAGATGGGAGATTAATTTTATCCTTATTTTTAAAAATATTTTATTTATTTATCTTTAGAGGGGAAGGGAAGGAGAGAGGGAGAGAAATATCAATGTATGGTTGCCTCTTGTGCGTCCCCTACTTGGAACTGGCCTGCAACCCAAGCATGTGCTCTGACTGGGAATCGAACCATGATTGTTCAGTTCCCAGGCCCATGCTCAATCCACTGAGCTACACCAGCCAGGTATTTTATTCTTCTTTTTTTTTTTTAGCTGCTTCTCTTTCCCCACATTTTGCCCATAATTTTTTACTACTTGCACAAAGAAGCAAAGAGATTTTCAAGGAAGCACCAGAAATGTTAAGTTTTTGATTCCAGAGCAGGAGAAGATGGCACAGGCTGAAAGCAAGTCCATAGTAGCCTTCCAAAAGATAGTTCTACATCCGTCCACTCCCCTGAGTCCTGGGATTGACCCAGAGGACTCGGTGTGATGATCCCTCCAGCCAGGCGCCCTGGCCTTCTAGGGAGACATTGTTCCTCCACATCCAGCAGCACAGCTCTGAGCCTCAGGTTCCTGGGAAGGTACCAGAGTGGTTTCCTTCCCAACTTGCCTGTTCTGACACATTTCAGTTAGTTTGCCTTGAAATGGACCAGAATGAGAAGGAAGAAATGGTTTGGATTCCAAGTCTCTTTTCAACAGTCTGCTTCGTGGTCTTGGTGGTTTTTGCTCATTTTGGAAGCTGGGGAGAAGGGAATTGGGGGCAGTGGGTAATAACCATTCTTACTGAATCTGATTAAAAATGGTCTATAAAACTGTTTTAACTAATCAGGACAAACATTAATTAATATCTTGAATCACAGAATGTTTACATAATATAGTACTCAATGCAGACAAATACTAGATATCACTAAGTACCTGAAACAAGAAAAAAAAAGGAAAGAAGGGAAGGAGGGAAGGAGAAGAATAAAAAGGAGTCTGGAGTCCTGGGATTTGGAGATCTGAGGGGCACAGGCAGAGTTTCTTGAAGGAATGGTGGCTGTGTGTGAATCTCTGGTGGCCTCTTGCCTCACATCTCGGCTTCTGAGGAGCAAACCTCTGTTATAGTGATAGCGATTCCAATGGCAAGGCTGCCATTGTCAGAGAAAAGCTGGGCTAGCAAGGTGTTAAGGATGAGGCAGAACCCGTCAGTGATCACTGAGTCCACACACTCAAGGACCGACCAGGGAGTGGCCACCCATTTGAGATGCCGATGGTTTCTGTTGAGCTCCAGGCAGTAGGTGAAGCAGTTGGCCTGGGTGGGGGTCCCAATCAGCATCATGGTGGCAAAGAACTGGGGATGCCCTTCATGCTTCTCCTGTTTCCTAAGCACCAGCAGAAAGTGGTGGCCAAGGCAGGAGTGCATGATGGTCCAGTCATCAGGGGCAGGAAGGTGCATGTCCATGGCCAGAAAGACTATCTTTGCTCCCTGAAGAATATCAACCCTGTGCATCTGCCTCAGGTGGGGCAACACCACCTCCAGATGGCCTTCCCATTGGCAGGAAAACAAAGGGAACATGCAGGGTGTCACCTGGGGGGGCATGTAGTTCTGCCTCCTCCCTCCTCGTGGTGGCAGGGCTGAGGGTGGGCATAGTGGAGGAGATGATGGTGGGAGCAGTGGTAGCAGTGGTGCTGGCTGAGGTGGTGATGGGTGTAGCTGCCTTGCTCTGGTACACTCTGAGTGCGTGACACCTGGACACATACTGTTGGACAAAGAGAAAAATGTTAGTAGGAGTGAGGTCAGTTTCTCAGCCTGGCTGAGACTCCCTTGGTGTTCAAAGTGTTAAAAGCAGACTTTCCAGTGCAGGTAGAGAAATCTTTATTTCTTAAAAAATGAGAACTGCTGGAATGTTTTCCAAAATGGCAACACCATTTTACTCTCCTATTAGCCATGTAAGAGGGTTCCAATTTTTACATATCCTTGTCAACACTTGTTATTATCTGTTTTGACAAATATTTTTGAGACAAAATTGTTTTGAACATTTTGCCAAATTTAGATGCTGAAGAATTGTAAGTCCCTTCTATGTCATGTCATTTCAGTATAGAACCTAAATCTACCCAATTAAAAAGAGGAGATCCTTCAAATGAGTCTTGTTAGAAGAAGAGATTTTCCGAATATAATGAAACATTTTTTAAAAGTCTAAAAAGAAAAATGAAGGATACACTGAATGCTTTGGCTGGTTGAGATTCTGAAAACTCAGTCCAAGAAAATGCAGTATTTATGCCTTTTCTGATTCTTTAATAAGATACTCACTCAAGCAAATGACCAATTTCCCTCTGAACATGCAGTGTGATGGTCATTAGCTGCAAGGAACTAAATTTTTTTTTGATACTGTTGATATTTATGTGCAGACACTGGAGGTCAATGGATTATTCCATCCCCTTTTTTATCATTGCTATCATTATTTTTAGGTCAAAATAATATTGGTTTTTATTATATATCATCTCCCATTGAACTTCAAGTTATCCATGTGTCTGACAATCTCCAAAGTTGAAAAAAGACATTGCTAACATTTTTTAATCCTCACCTAAGGGTATGTATATTAATTTTTTAAATATATTTTATTAATTATGCCATTACACTTGTTCTATTTCCCCCATTCATTTCCCTCCACCCTGTACACCCCCTCCCGCACCATTCCCCCCTTTAGTTTATGGCCACGTGTCTCAAGTTCTTTAGATTCTATATTTTCCATACTAATCTTGCCCTCCCCCTATCTATTTTCTACCTACCATCTCTGCTACTTATTTTCTGTACCTTCTCCCACCGTCTCCTTCTCCCACTCCCCTGTTGCTAACCCTCCATGTGATCTTCATTTCTATGGTTCTGCTTCTGATCTAGCTGTCCTCTTAGTTTGCTTTTGTTTTAGGTGTGGTTGTTAATAACTGTGAGTTTGCTGTCCTTTCACTGTTCATCTTTTTTATCTTCTTTTTCTTAGATAAGTCCCTTTAACATTTCATATAATAAGGGCTTGGTGATGATGAACTCCTTGAATTTGATCTTATCTGAGAAGCACTTTATCTGTCCTTCCATTCTAAATGAAAGCTTTGCTGGATAGATCAATCTTGGATGTAGGTCTTTGGATTTCATGACTTGGAATACTTCTTTCCAGCCCCTTCTTGCCTGGAAGGTCTCTTTTGAGAAATCCGCTTACAGTCTGATCGGAACTCCTTAGTAGGTGACTGTCCCTTTATCTCTTGCTACTTCCAGGATTTCCTTTTTCATTTGAATCTTGGCTAATGTAATTATGATGTGCCTTGGTGTGTTTCTTCTTGGGTCCACCTTCTTTGTGACTCTCCGAGCTTCCTGGATTTCCTGGAAGTCTATTTCCTTTGCCAGATTGGGGAAATTCCTCTTTATTATTTGTTCAAATAAGTTTTCCACTTGTGGCTGTTCCTCTTCCCCTTCTGGTACCCCTATAATTCAGATGTTGGAACGTTTAAAGATGTCCTGGAGGTTCCTAAGCCTCTCCTCATTGTTTTGAATTCTCGTTTCTTCATCCTTTTCTGTTTGGTCATTTTTTTCCTCTTTCTGGCCCACTCCATTGATTTGAGTCCCACTTTCCTTTCCATTACTATTGGTTTCCTGTGCATTTCCCTTCATTTCAATTAGTTTAGCCTTCATTTGTTCCTCTAATCTGTGACTAAAATCAACCAGTTCTGTGAGTATCCTGATCACCAACCAGTGTTTTGAACTGTGCATCTGAAAGTTTGGCTATTTCTTCATCACTTAGATTTATTGGCTCTGGGGTTCTGAGTTCTTCTTGAGCCATGTTTTGATCTGTTCCTGCCTGTTACATATGAGGAGTGGAGCCTTATGTGTTCACCAGGGTGGGGCCACCCAGGTCGCTGGTTTGTGATGCTGTATGTGGGGGCGGGGTCAGAGAGGGGCAATGGTGGTCCCCTCTGCTGCTTCCCACCACTGGAGCATGCACAGTCTGTCTCACTGCTCCCTCCTTCACTGGTTTATCTGCACACAAATGTGAGACCATGGTCAGCCCTCAGTGAGTCCACCACCTTGCGCCCTCAGTGGGTCTACCCACTACTGCACACCTGGGATCTGCCCAGGGCTGCTGGTGCACCTGGGTGGCACACCCGGGTCAGTCTGGTGGCTCTTTCCTGCCCGACCTCGCTCTGCTCCTGGCTCTGCCCCTCTTACTCGTTTGGCTGAAGGGTTCGTTGTTGTCAGACTTTCATATAGTTCAATTTTCTGTAGTTTGGCTGCATTTTTGTTGCTAAAACTTTGTTGTTTTTAAACTTGGTTGTGCGAGAAGGTGAAGTGCTTCCACCTATGCCTCCATCTTGGCAGAAGTCCTACTGCTATCATTATTTTTAAAACAAAATTTCAGTAAGTGCACATTTGTTCTTTCATTTTTTCCAGGGGTTGTGCTGTTTTGGTTGCCCTTCTCATGGATTCTAAGGAAATTGGTCGAACACAGAGCTGGTTATATATGATTGGGCCAGGTATCCCAGAGAAGAAGCTTCACTTGTTACTCCTGGGACTTTGCCCACCAGGCACACTTCTGCTCTGTTCCAGGCTCACTACTCTGGAGCAGCTTCCCAGGGTCTCACTCCCAGGCAGCCCCCATCTGAAACTCTCCTGTCTTTTTTTCCCATATAGCAGTGTTTCCACAAATGCCCTAAAAACACTAGGAGCTGTAATGACACCTTCTGAACAAGTATCACTAAATATTTACTGAGCACCTCCTACAGCCAGAACCTGTGGGTACTAGGAGTACAGCCATGAACAAAATAAATACCACATTGCTTGGTGTGAGAAGTACAGATATTAGTAAACATATATTCAATTGTGGTTTTTACAAGGGTACTCCCTATGACACAAAGACTATAATTCATATTTTTCAGATGGAGAAGCAGGCTTACTGTAGTAATGGGTCTGATGTTACAAAGCTGGTAACTAAAAGACTGGGACTCATTTTCATACCTCCTAACTCTGAGCACAGCAGCAGCCCACTCCCACTGGTATTCTTTTTTTCAGCTCCCTTCTCCATTCCTTGAGTTCTTTAATTAGCCTGCAGTATCTAGGCTGTTCAGTGGAGGTGGCAGCTCTGCAGGTGCTCCAGGCAGGAGGATGACACATGGAAGCCTTTTACTGGGCTTCCTTCAGGCAGAGAATGGCTCTTCTGCCCTAGCTCCCCAAACCCTTTTTGGACTTCAGATACCTCTCGGCACTTGCCTCCTCATCTGGCTCTGGTGGATAGAGGACCAGGGCATTGGTCTTTCTTTCACACTCACCCTGGTTGCTGCCAGAGTTTCTGTCTCCCTGGGATCAGAGTGTGGCTAACAGCTGAGGCCTGGCTAGCTTCCCTCTCATTAGTGCATGCAACAGATATGCACAAACACACACCCAGTATGCTAGGAAGGTCACCCTGGTGGTGGTGGAGGTGACCTGCAGGCAAATGGGGCCAAAGTTGTTTCTGCTCTCTGGATGGAAGTTTCTGGGCAGTCTTCTGTCACCCAACCTGCATACTCATCAGGACCATGAAGGAACATGCTGTGACCCAGAATCTTGCTAACACTTACCTGTTAGTGTTAAATACAGGGAAGGGAACTACCTTCCTAGTAGTGCAGCATCTACTAAGTGTTGGGCACTGTGGAAAGTGGGCATTTTTGCATAATTATTTCATTTAATTTTGCACAGACAAGACCAATTTCCTTTTTAGAAGGAATAAAATTAAATCTAGCTTAGTTCTGTCAGACTGAGGAAGACAAATACCATATGATATCAACAAACAAACTTGAAGCAGACTTATAGATGCAGAGAACAAACTGATGGATACCGCAGGGGAGAGATATTGGGGGCCAGGGAAAAATAAGGTGGAGGGATTAAGAAGTACTAAATGGTACTTCTACTAAATGGTTACAAATAGGTGGGGGGATGTAAGGTAAAGAATAGGAAATAAAGTTAACCATATCATAATAACTATCTATAGAGCTAGGTGAGCACTTTACTAAAATTCTACGGCACACCAAAAATATATTTTTTGCCAAGCTGACAAAAATAGGTATAATTTGATTTAGTCACATCAGGTGGCTAATGTTGTGTCGGCTGTCATTTTTTCATTTGGCAATATAAAGGAAAAGAAGTCAGTGTACCTGACTGAGTAGTCAGGTATTGCATGCTTTAAAAATTCTTGTGGCAGACTTCCGCCAAGATGGAGGCATAGGTGGATGTGCCGTTCCTTCTCACACAACCGAGTTTAGAGACAACTAAATATTAGCAATAGAAAACACAGCCGGAACACGGAAAACTGAACTTTTCGGAAGTCCGTTAACAACAAATTCTTCAGCCTGACCGGTAAGGGGCGAAACCAGCGGCTGGTGAGGGGGTGCACAGGAGGACTCAGTCAGATGGACTCAGGCCTTAATCCAGCCGCGCGGAATCCAGGCGCAGGGTTGGACCTAGTGAGCGACCCAGCGAGCCACCAGGCGAGTGACCGCGGAGGAGACAGCGGGGAAGTGGTGCTGCATGTTGACTGTGGTCACCCATTTGTGCGTGAGCGGACAGGCCAGGGAGTGGGCGGTTGGACCGGGGCCCAGCGGGTCTAGAGGGCGCCGCCATTTCCCCACTCTGACCACGCCCCCACATACAGCGTCACAACCCAGCGACCTGGGAGTCCAAGGCACCGCTTCTCACACTTAAAGGGCCAGAACAGACCAAAAATGTCGCAAGATCTCAAAGCCCCAGAGCCCATAGATCAAGCGATGAAGAAATAGCAAAACTCTCAGACGCACAGTTTAAAACACTGGTCATCAGGATCCTCACAGAATGGTTGATTATAGCCGACAAATTAGACAAATATATGAAGGCAAAACTAATTGAAATGAATGGAATTGCACAGGACACCAATAGCAATGAAAAGGAAACTGGGACTCAAATCAATGGAGTGGACCAGAAGAAAGCAAATAATGGCCAAACAGAAAAGAGTAAGGAAGCAAGAATTCAAAGAAATGAGGAGAGTCTTAGGAACCTCCAGGACATCTTTAAACGCTCTAACATCCGAATTATAGGGGTACCAGAAGGGGGAAAGGCACAGCCACCAGTGGAAAACGTATTTTAATACAAATAATAAAGGAGAATTTCCCCTGTCTGGCAAAGGAAATAGACTTCCAGGAAATCCAGGAAGCTCAGAGAGTCCCAAAGAAGTTGGACCCAAGAAGGAACACACCAAGGCACATCATCATTACATTAGCCAAAATTAAAATGAAGGAGAGAATCCTAGAAGCAGCAAGAGCTAAGGGAACAGTCACCTACAAAGGAGTCCCCATCAGACTGTCAGCAGATTTCTCAAAAGAGGCCTTACAGGTAAGAAGGGGCTGGAAAGAGGTATTCCAAGTCATGAAATCCAAAGACCTACAACCAAGATTGCTCTATCCAGCAAAACTTTCATTTAGAATGGAAGGACAGATAAGGTGCTTCTCAGATAAGATCAAATTCAAGGAGTTCATCATCACCAAGCCCTTATTATATGAAATGTTAAAGGGACTTATCTAAGAAAAAGAAGTTAAAGAAACATGAACAGTGAAAGGACAGCAAACTCACAGTTAGTAACAACCACACCTAAAATGAAAGCAAACTAAAAGGACAGCTAGATCAGGAGTGGAAACATAGAAATGATCTCAAGGAGGGTTAGCAACAGGGGAGTGGGAGGAGGAGATGGGGGGAGAAGGTACAGAAAATAAGTAGCATAGACAGTAGATAGAAAATAGATGGGGGGCAAGAAGAGCATGGGAAATATAAAATCTAAAGGACTTGAGACACATGGTCATAAACTAAAGGGGGGGTAATGGTGGGGATGGGGGAGTAGGTTGGAGGGGAATGAAGGGGGGAATAGAACAACTGTAACAGCATAATCAATAAAAAAATTTTAAAAAAAAAAAAAAGAAACATGAAACAACTAGAACAGGAAACAGAATCACAGAAATGGAGACCACAGGGAGGGTTATCAGCAAGGAGATAAAGGGGGTAGAATGGGGGGAAAGGTACAGGGAATAAGAAGCATAATTAGTAGATACAAAATAGACAGGGGAGGTTAGGAATAATATAGGAAATGGAGAAGCCGAAGAACTTGTATGTATGACCCATGGACATGAACCAAGTGGTGGAACCAAGAGGCTGAGGTGGGGTGAGGGGGTGGGGGGTGGGAAGGGGAGATGCAGAGTGGAATAAAGGGGGGAAATGGGACAACTGTAATAGCATAATCAATAAAATATATATAAGGGAAAAAATTCTTGTGGCATGCCAGTTGAAAATCGCTGACCTATATGAATTTCTATTTTATGTGTTGTACACCTGAAACTAATCCAAAATAGTGTTTAATGCAAACTGTAATAGAAGTATAATAAGAAGAAAAATTCTGGCTTAGTTCCCACCTGCCTGCTGATGGCATATATCATTTAGTCAATGGGTGAGGGTGGGGTGGGGGAGTTCCTCTTATTCATTGGGATTGTACAAGCCCAGAGCTCTCATGCTCCATCAGCCAGGTGTGAGGGCCTCCTCCCAGGTACTTCCACCAGTTTCAGGTTCTGCAGAAGGTCAGCCTCTTCTGCTGAGCTCAAGAGGATCTGGTCTTGGCTTCTCACAGAAAGTTCCAAACGTTGTCCTCTCTCCCGGCCTCTGAGAAGCCCCTCTTTCTTACTTAGTCTTTATAATAATCAAAAAAGAAACATACTGTGTTTGTCTTATCGATGAAGAAACTGATACAGAGAGAAGTTGAGTCACTTGACCAAGCACAAATTGTAAGAGGTGTACCTGGGAATGGAGCCCAGAGCTGTTAACAGTGACATATATCGTAGACCAGAAAGATCACAGCCTGGATGTCAGCAGACTCTGGTGTGTTTCACAATTTACTTATCCAGCAGTATGATTAAGTCAGTTTCCCCATCAGCAAAATATCTGTTTCAAAGGGTTATTAGGGAGCAAAATGCAACAATTCCTGACAAAAAGCTTTAAAAACACATCAAGTATTATATCAAGATGGCATTTCCATTTAGATGTGATTTTGGGTAAAGACTTTGCAGACTTCTGCCCCAGTCCATGCCTACTTGTGTCTATCCTGGTCAGCTGACCTTTGCATCTGGGTGGTACTCTGGGCTGAACATAGGCCACTGTGTGGGTCTGGAGACTCCAATATTGCACTGGACTTGGGGCCTCCTGTCACAAAGCTGACCATGACGACAAACATTCTGAAATTCCCATCTCAGAAGCAGACTCCAGGCAAGTTATTTTCAACATGCCCTTTTCCACATCTTTTTTTCATCTTCTCCACCTTGTTCTGTGTAGCTCACATTAGAGGTGTGAAATCAAAGCCAAGGTACAGTCTGAAAGGAATGCCTTGATCTCCCCTTCTTCCTTGCCTCCAAACTCTTGCCAGGGTCTCCTATTAGCTGAACCCAATCAGCCCAGCGATTGACTTAGCAAGGGTCAGTTTCCTTTGGAAAGGGGTACTGGGTGAAGCACACAGGTGAAGAGGAAAAGCCCACCTGTATGAAACTGTCTCTATTCCTTCCTCTGTGGTGTTTGCTGAACTGACCATGCTGGTTCTCCTAGGCTGAGATTTGACAAGACTAATAGGTTTGGGAAGGGTATATCTATGCCTACAATTCATTAAGTCTTTGATAAACATATGTATACCACCTACCATGTATAAGGGGCTGAGAATGCTGTGCATAGTAAAATCCTTGTTCCTGACTCAGTAGCTCACTACAATTATGTACAATATAATAGAATGCAAAAATGCAGGATACAGTTGGGGCTCTGATAGTACAAATGAGGAAGATAGCGATTCTAGTCAGTGCAAAGTAACATTTACACTGGGCAAAGCATGATGGGTGAATGCTCTAACAGAATAGGCAAAGGATTTACCAACAGGATGAGTAGCAGGTTAGAAGGAGCCAGGTATAAAAGAGCATGGTATAGTTAAAAAATGAAAAGTTCCAAGTACCTAGTAGATGGAAAACTTGGTAGGGATGGGAAAGAGGTGGGCCATAG